CCCCCCATGCCCTCTTCCCACCAACTGAACCTAGTCCTCCCCCCTCATGCCCTCCTCCCACCAACTGAGCCCAGTCCTCCCCCCTCATGCCCTCTTCCCACCAACTGAGCCCAGTCCTCCCCCCATGCCCTCTTCCCACCAACTGAACCTAGTCCTCCCCCATCATGCCCTCTTCGCACCAACTGAGCCCAGTCCTCCCCCCTCATGCCCTCTTCCCACCAACTGAGCCCAGTCCTCCCCCCTCATGCCCTCTTCCCACAAACAGAGCCCAATCCTCCCCCCTCATGCCCTCTTCCCACAAACAGAGCCCAGTCCCCCCATCCCTATATCCTGCCTGCCCCCGATTAGCACAGCTTCCTGATCAATGGGCTCCATATCAGAGGGAGGTGAGGTGTGACACTGTGGCCACCCTAGTGGGAAGGAACTTTTTTTTTAAATATTTATTTTGTGTATATAAGTACACTGTTGCTGTCTTCAGACACACTAGAAGAGGGCATCAGATCCCTTTACAGATGGTTGTGAACCACCACGTGGTTGCTGGGAATTGAACTCAGGACCTCTAGAAGAATAGTCAGTACTCTTAACCACTGAGCCATCTCTCCAGCCTGGGAGGGAATGTTTTTTTGTTTTGTGTTGTGTTGTGTTATTTTGTTTTCCCTCTAAAACCTTCTAGTGCTATAGTCACCTGTCTTCTTCGAAGCCCCAGCTCAACTGCAAATCCTGAGCATGCTCTGCTGTTCGTGAAGTTTTACTCCAGGCCCCTTTGGCAAACACAGTCTTGAGTTCTTGGCTGTTGAGCCAGCTCAAGGAGGACACTATTTCAGCACTCAGTCAATGTGTAAAGTACAAACAGCCCTGCTGCCCCATCCACAGATGTTAGATAAGGGTCCACACTTACCTGCCAGCTACAGCATGTGACCACCATGTTGATGCTCACAGAGCATTTGGTGTCCAGCCTTGTCTAGCAACCCTGGATAGTCCAGATGAGGCTTTTTCCTCTGAGAGTGACTTTCCCTGGAGCCTGCATCTACCGTCTAATGTTTTAAGACTTGGGTGTATGAAAGACACAAGGGTACCTCTGCACAGTCAGTGCACCTTCCTGGGGCTGGTTATATTGCGCAGCTTAACGAAAGTCCACTGTCTCTTAGGGTGTTAGTCCTTTGCACATGCTTACCCTCACACAGAGCCTTGCAGTGGCTTCATTAGAGCCTGCCTCCGAGCTTTCTTTGCTCTCTAGAACTGAATGAAACACAGTGATTCTCCAGGGAACAGGGTCAGGAAGAAGAGGATGCAGCCTTGGAAGAACAGGATGCAGCCTTGGACAAGGGCTTGTTGAGCAATGCACTCCTAGAGAAGCCGAAGGCAAGTGCGGTTTGGGGCAGATACCAGGCTTATTTTTCAGCCACTCAAACAGCTGACCCCCAGCTTCCTTGAAAGCTGTTGTGCAGGCTGGGCAGCTGGGCCTCCAGGTTGCTGCCTCTCTCCCTGCAAAACACCATGTGCATCTGACGGTTTTCTTTGCTTATAGGTTGTATCTACTTCACATACAACCCACACCCTGGAAGGAGGCAGCAGACACAGGAAAATGGTTGGCCAGCCTAGGGAGGCTACCTAGAGAGAGGACTTTGTGTTTTGTGCTTGGCTCAAGCTGCTGTTGACAAATCCTGGAGGCCAGTGTTCGGAGCTATTAAGTTCACCAAGGCAGGATGCTGAGTGTGGGGTGTGGGCTCCAAGTGATCCTGTTGTGGAAAACACCAAACACCTAGCCAAGTGTGTGGTAGCTCTGTACTCTCGGAACTAGAGAGGCAGAGGTGGGAGCGCTTCAGTGAATTCAAGGGTAATGTAGACTAGAGCCAGAGAGATGGTGCAATTGACAAAGTACTTTATAGACATGGCTTGTGACCTGAGCTTGATCTTTGTAAACCAGGTAAACCTAGAAAAAGGAAACTGACTTTACAAAGTTCACTGTGGTACACACATGCCCATACACACACCTCCCCCACCCTGTTTCCCTCCCCCCCTCTCTTTCTCCCTCCCCCTCTCTCTTCTTCCCTCCCCCCTCTCTCTCTCTCACACACACATACAGAGTAACTTAAATATTTTAAAATTTAAAAAGTGTGCTTTCGTGGGTCTGTGTGTGTTCACATTGTAAAGATACCTAACACAAGTGCTGGAGATTAGACTCAGGTCCTCTGCAACAGCAGTATGTGCTCTTAACAGAGCTACCTCTCTAGCCCGATACGTAGTCCTAGCTGGCCTAGAACTTACAGAAATCTGCCTGCATCTCCCTTCCAAGTGCTAGGATGTATTTCCATACTCATCAAAACAGAAAACTGGGTAAAGGCCCTGTCCTGCAGCCCCTTAGTGGGTTCTCCTCCAGTAAGGCAGCCAACTTCAGAAGCGGGTACTTTAAAGCCAGACCATTTTTTATACCCAGAGTAAAATCAGTTTCATGGCTGGTGTGTAGAGGTCCATTTGGCTCAGAGAAACTGATAGTGCTTGGTCTGTTGGCCTGCAGGCCTAGGACAGCCATGGGGGCTTCTTAGTCACAGGCATCCCTAGTCACAGCAAGTGTTATTTTCCTATTAACAAGGCTGGGAAGACAGACAATAGGGTGAGAAGGGCCAGGTTTCTACGTCCAGGAGGATAGTGGCATTAGCTCCAGCATACACTGTCTGGCTCCTGGACCTGACTATATCACTCTGTGGAAATATTTTACAACATAGTAATTGGTGAAGAACTGCATTATCTTCATTCAGCAACTCTGGAATCCCCTTAACAACATCATGGTGTGCTCCTGTAAGGTCAGCCCTTTTGCAAAAGATGCAGATTTTTTTTTGAAGAATGTGGGCCAGGAAATTGAATTGAATTAGGAGAGCCATAAGTTTGAAGCCAGCTTGGGCTTCATAGTAAGATGAATCAGCAACACAACTGTCTTAAAGACAAAAAATACCAGGAACATTTTATTTTTTTATTTTGGGGTACTAGGGATTGACCCTAGGGACTTACACATGCTAGGCAAACACACTACTGCTTAGCTCATCCCCGACTTTTTTTGTCATATATATCTATATCTATCTATCTATATCTATATCTATATCGATATATCACACATGAGTGCTTGCCTGCATGTATATATGTATATATGTGTATTATGTACATGCCTGATATCCATGGAGGCCAGAAGAGGACACTGGATTGGATTCCCTGGGACTGTAGTTACAGACGGTTGTCACCACCATGTAGGTGCTGGGTACCAAACCTGTGTCCTTTGCAAGAGCAACAAGTAGTGCCTTTAACCACTGAGCCATCTCTCCAGTGGGCCCCCCACCCCGACTTTTTTACTTTTTATTTTGAGGTAGAGTCTCACTAAACGGTCTACATGGGCCTTGAACTTGTAATTCTCTTACCTTAGCCTCAGTTAAGTTTATAGGCTTTCATTGCCTAGGCCTGGATGCCAGAAGCATTTAAAATATTGCACGGAGTTAAATGTATATCTGTTCCTGAAATGTTCATGAAGTCACAGTGGTTTGCAGCTTTCCGTTTTGCTCTGTTTTATGGGTAGTTTCAAAAGGATGAAGCCTTTTCTGCCTCATTTGTGTGTGGTGTTGAGGAAGTGAACCCAGAGGCTGGCACATGCTGGGCAAGTCCTGTGCCACTAAGCCACACCCCAACTTCAGAGGATGAGAATTGAACATCTTCATAGACATCAGAGGCAGACAATGAGCATTCTGGAGGGCTAAACATCCACCTCTACAGACAGTTTCAGAAAACTTTCCGAGCCAGTTCACGTAAAAGATTACCCTCCCTGTGTGAGTGTGAAGCACAGGCAAAGCGCTTGTCCACTGTCTATAAGACCCCCAGTGCAAGATAATTACAGAGCCTTTCCTTTTTGAGAATGTTTGTTTGAGAAGAAGTCTTGCAGGGTTGGGGATTAGCTCAGTGGTAGAGTGCTTGCTTAGGGAGAACAAGGCTCTGGGTTTGGTTCTCAGCTCTGAGGGGCGGGGAGGAAGG